AAAAATTCCCCTGGTCTTCAGCCTAAACTGTACGAGTAAGAAAATCGTCCCGTATAGTGTTCGGACTCATATTACCTCTAATCTATGGATCTTGTAGTTATTAATCCAAATTGTGAAATATTTATGTTTACCTTGTTAGCGAGTTTGTTCTGTCCTAAAGAAACTGGTTTCGAATTGAAGGATGTCTGATGCGAAGACCTTCTGGGGAAATATCATCCAAGAGAATACGCAGTGCAATTGTCCAATCATTTTCTGTATAATGGTTTCTATAATGGTTCCTAAGCTTAATAGACTAATTGGGCATGATTTTGCTAGAAACAAGACTTATCACCAACAGGAGCAAGAAATTTTGAAAAATCTCTCAGAAAAATTTAGAGAATACAATATACTAGAAAAGAAGTATGCAAAGAAACCATACACATGAAAACACAGTTCTATTTGTATTTATTTGAAGATTGGGATAAAACACAATCGTACAAATTTCAAATATGAAACGAGCCAAGAGACTGTCCAAGCATTGTTAAATAGCATAGCGCAAAACAATTTTGAATAACTTATGCAAGTACCCTCTGCCTAAACTTTTGGCTGCCCGCGGGCCGGGGGGGGGGGGGNATATTACCTCTAATCTATGGATCTTGTAGTTATTAATCCAAATTGTGAAATATTTATGTTTACCTTGTTAGCGAGTTTGTTCTGTCCTAAAGAAACTGGTTTCGAATTGAAGGCTGTCTGATGCGAAGACCTTCTGGGGAAATATCATCCAAGAGAATACGCAGTGCAATTGTCCAATCATTTTCTGTATAATGGTTCCTAAGAATAATAGACTAATTGGGCATGATTTTGCTAGAAACAAGACTTATCACCAACAGGAGCAAGAAATTTTGAAAAATCTCTCAGAAAAATTTAGAGAATACAATATACTAGAAAAGAAGTATGCAAAGAAACCATACACATGAAAACACAGTTCTATTTGTATTTATTTGAAGATTGGGATAAAACACAATCGTACAAATTTCAAATATGAAACGAGCCAAGAGACTGTCCAAGCATTGTTAAATAGCATAGCGCAAAACAATTTTGAATAACTTATGCAAGTACCCTCTGCCTAAACTTTTGGCTGCCCGCGGGCCGGGGGGGGGGGGGCTCCTCTGGTCTTGAATCTGCAGCATTGCATTCGCTGGATGTTTTGTACTGTCAAGCTCCAAATAAAAAAAATCGAAAGAAAATCCAAATATTAGTACGGATCAATGATACCAGAACAATGGCAAAGCAACATGACAGTGACATTAGGAAGAAAAAAACGTAAACAGAAAATAGATCCATATACAAAACTTTGTGAACTAAAGCACACCTTTTAAACTCAAATAGAGATTGGTACACCCAACACAAAATAGTAAATCAATATGAAGTATATCTTTAAAGCAATATTCCAATCTTTAATCTTAAAAAATTGAAGTGTCCCATTCACTTCAAGTGCCAACATCAACAATTAAGTACAAACAATAAAAGGTTCAATCCTAACCTATACCAAGCAAATTAAATTAAAAAACAATAATGACAATAAATTAAAACCAACCAAGCATAATAGGACAAATTTGACAAAAACGAAGGCAGCATAAGAGTAGCCACTCTATGCATGATGACCCACCATGTAATCCATTATCCAAGATTACGTTTCAGGTTTTATGCAGAAAAAGGTTGTATTACCAATGCATGCCAGCATCCTAATTGCACAATGAAAGAAAGAGTAGTGATAAAAAGCAACTAAATGAAACTTGAAAGTAAAAAATTCAACTAGAACAGGTAATGAAGCAAAAGGGGACAACAATAATGGACATCACATAACATCATCACCAACTATAACATTTCCCTCGTGACCAACATGAAAAATCAAAGTTCACAGATATGGTTCGATGTTGCGGTATAGGTCATCGACTCAAAAGGTACAGCCAATACGCTCAAAATGATAGATAGAAGGCCCAAATTTTTTTGAAAAAATCACAAAAAATTCTAAAAAATGTAAGCAATATTATTTGTGCATCATATATTCAAAANATAAATAAGGAAGAAAAAAACGTAAACAGAAAATAGATCCATATACAAAACTTTGTGAACTAAAGCACACCTTTTAAACTCAAATAGAGATTGGTACACCCAACACAAAATAGTAAATCAATATGAAGTATATCTTTAAAGCAATATTCCAATCTTTAATCTTAAAAAATTGAAGTGTCCCATTCACTTCAAGTGCCAACATCAACAATTAAGTACAAACAATAAAAGGTTCAATCCTAACCTATACCAAGCAAATTAAATTAAAAAACAATAATGACAATAAATTAAAACCAACCAAGCATAATAGGACAAATTTGACAAAAACGAAGGCAGCATAAGAGTAGCCACTCTATGCATGATGACCCACCATGTAATCCATTATCCAAGATTACGTTTCAGGTTTTATGCAGAAAAAGGTTGTATTACCAATGCATGCCAGCATCCTAATTGCACAATGAAAGAAAGAGTAGTGATAAAAAGCAACTAAATGAAACTTGAAAGTAAAAAATTCAACTAGAACAGGTAATGAAGCAAAAGGGGACAACAATAATGGACATCACATAACATCATCACCAACTATAACATTTCCCTCGTGACCAACATGAAAAATCAAAGTTCACAGATATGGTTCGATGTTGCGGTATAGGTCATCGACTCAAAAGGTACAGCCAATACGCTCAAAATGATAGATAGAAGGCCCAAATTTTTTTGAAAAAATCACAAAAAATTCTAAAAAATGTAAGCAATATTATTTGTGCATCATATATTCAAAATATATCATCTAACATATTAAACATAGCTAAAATTCATTACAAGGGTGCTACCGGAAATATGTCTCAACATTAGTGTTACATATAAGAGCATATTGAGCTATAATTAGTTTATTTCCAATTTTATATCAAAAAGAAAACTGGATAACAGATATTAATTTAATATTTTTAAGACATCAATAGATGTACATTACAATATAGATGAAAATAATATTAGTAAAATCTGCTAAACACACACACAAAAAAAAAAAAGACTGCGGAACCAATATATAACAGAATTTATAAAAGACACTTAACTTAGACATTTATTAAGAAATTAGGAAAAAGCTTACTGACAATATAACAAAGAAACAAAAAACCAATGTATTCTATAAGAGTAAAATAGGACATGAAGGGCAAAGAGACAGAAGAGGGGCAGTTTTTTAGGGTTTCGTCTGTTTGAGAGAGAGTAATTCATAACACTTAAAATCCTCCCACTCTTTTTACCACTTCTCTTTAATAAAACAATTAACACACCATTTATAACAGTTTTAACCACTATGCCATTTATGACACCTCATAGAAATAAATTACCATGTCTTTTTATAATAAAACACTTAACATGTCATTTATAATAATTACTAAGACAATCTGCAAGAACTGCATCACTAGAACTTGACTCTGAGAAGGCAGTGAACAAAAGGCTCAAGCACATTAGAATCTTTTGTTAGCATAGAAGAGCCATCCAAATCCACCAGCTCTGGACCAACCTAGGGTGACAAACCTAATCAGGACTCACACCCACAAATGCTACAACCTTTACTCCCACCCTTAAAGGTCATTCAAACATTACAGTCGTGGCAACAATAACACCAATAGAACTTCGCAGGAAAATTGAGAAAAACATGATAGAACTTTAATCAAACTATGTGATACAGTGTAACAAAATGACGATGAAATATTTGATTCTATATTTCTCCAAGCACCCAAGGTAATTAAGATTGGAAATAATTGTTGAGTTTAGCTAGGCAATTAACACTCAATTTGATGCAAAACCCTAATAATCAATTCCATCAAGCCACCCAAGTCTCATAAATCCCACATTCAAATTTCATCAAAAATAGTCATAAGATAAACAAAGCCCTATATGTCCAGTTGCGTGTGTGTTTGAATGTCACTGTGAGTTACATATGTGAGTGTGTGTGCAGGGGCAGAGCTACTCTTACGGGAAGAGGGGGCACTTGCCCTATTTACCTTTAAAGAATCCTTTCATATATAGTATTAAATCATAATGAGTCCCTTAGAGATTAAGATATTGACCCCCTTAAATTTTTAGACAATTTGTATAGAATGTCCTAATATTATTGTTTTCAATAAATCAGCGGCCTACTAATCCATTAAAATATAGTTCATTTTTAGACGATGTTAAATAAATGTGAGATATTTTGAAGATAATACAGCTCTCTTTCATATCTTATATTGTTTCATTTTTTTTAAAAAAAAATTTATATCGTTGTATCCAGCTCTTTTTTGTTAAGTTAATGGGTTATGACCAGTTGTAAACACGATTGGATGCAAAATAGTAAAATATTCTAAATCAAAAGANAAAAAAAAATTTATATCGTTGTATCCAGCTCTTTTTTGTTAAGTTAATGGGTCATGACCAGTTGTAAACACGATTGGATGCAAAATAGTAAAATATTCTAAATCAAAAGAGTATTTTTTGCTTTTTTAAATAATTAATTTTTTAACAAGATGGATAATGTTCTTAATTATGTTTCGCAACAAAATGAAAGTTGATTTTATCATAGACATTTTCATTGTATACATTGAAGGAAATTACTGAATTTTTTTTGCATAGTTCTATATTTTCATTGTCATATATTTTTTAATATATCTCTCATGTTTAAACTTAGAAATTTTATTTTTAATTTTTTATTCATGTTTTGCCCCTCTAAGATGAACTCATGGCTCCGCCCCTAAGTGTGATATGTGTGAGTGTGCATGTGCTGTGTGTTGTGTCTCTACACGTGATGTGTGTGTTGTGTCTCTGCACGTGATGTTGTGTGTTGTGTATGTGCTTTGTCTTCTCCATGCGTGTGTGCTGTGTGTATGTGTTGCTTTGTGTGATGTGCGCGTGCATAAGATAGAGAGAGGCAAAGAAAGAGATTAAGAGAGGGAATGTGTTGTTATGTGCATGTGTATTGTGTGCATGTGTGAGACAGAGAAAGGGAGAGACGGAGTAAAAGAGAATATTAGTCAGACAATGGTTGGTTCGTTTCATTGTCGATGGTTTTATTGGTGGTGCGTTAGTCATCATCGGTGGTGGGCTTAGGCCGCTCCATCGATTTGGGAAAAAGAGAAGATAAGAACTCCAAAATAACAAGGTATCATTGACGAAAGCTCATTACCAAACAGTGTTCTAGTACAACAACCAGTCCCAACCCAAGCAAGATCATTGACGAAAGCTGAAGGTTGATCATTGGCACTGAAATAACAGGGTATCCAGACAAGAAGAATTCTAAAAGATCTGCAAGCAAGCAAAACATTTAATAAGGTGTACTTAAATGTCAAGAACAAGGACCTAAGTTGAATATAAAACAAGAAGACAAAATGAGGTGGAAGACAACCATTAAACTTTTACCCATGGAATCTTATCTTGAAGTTGAGTGATCAACTTCTCCATCAGAGAAACTTTTTATCAGAAAACAGGTACAGACAAAGAGGGTAGACTCTCTAATCTCAGCTTCATTTCAGTCTCAGGCATAGATCCTTCTGCACCCATTTCTGATATCAGTAATGCTCACCTAGCAAACCACAAAAAAAAGGAAGAAGAAAAGATTAGCATAAACTAATAGTTGTGCAGGACGATAGAGAAGACTATATCAATAACTTCTATTATCTCATACAAATATGCAAGTGACACAGAATGGTAAACCTTTTGCAGATTCACAGCCTTTCTAAAGAGGATCTGAGAAGCCTCACCCAGTTTTAAGAGAGAATAAGATCAATCTGGAAAATTTGTCATCGTCATCTTCTTCTTATCCAGGGGAGGAAGCAAACGAGTCCCTAGTATCATCAACATGTCACTCGGGACAAAACATGCAATAATGGTCTATAATGCTCAATAATCACCATTATACTGAAAAGAACACACCACTTGTCATTCGACAAATGACAAGTCATTTTGTTTCAAGTAATTTTCTTTTTTTTCTAGGGTATGTGTGCAGGGTTGTGAAGAAGTCATCATTGGATATTTCCATACTTTTATGATCCCATAAAAGTAATGTAAATTTTAATACAATTGCAAGAAAACTTATGAACCTTGTTGAATTGATTTCAGTGACAAGAAATTACCAAGACAAGGACATTACCTCTTAGAAAAAGCCATTGCTCAAGAAGCCTGCTAAGAAACCAGGAATACCTGCCACAACAATGCCGCTCCAAATGCAAGAACAGGAACACAGCCGGCATAAGACTTGGACTGTTCAGGTATTCAAAGACACAACTAAATGCACTTCTGGAAGCAGTTGAAACAGGTCCACAATTGAAGATGCTACCATCGAGCTACCGCAAATAGATAAGTTGCCTCGACAACCGTAGAAGTTAGAGAAGGCTCATTTCAACATCATTTGTATAAGTATAAACTATAACCTCTAATTTGAAGAATGTTGTAAGCAGTGAAACCAACTAAGCACAGTCCAAAGCCAACTAATTTTCTCAATATTTGAAGTCAACAATCACCTGTTAGCAAAGCAAACATGAAACATTGAGAATTCATATCTGTTTCACTAGTAAATAGTAGGCGTTTGCTATACCTGAGTTGTGCTCATTGTGGCAACGTCAAGTTGCCCACCTAAAGGCTAAAGCAGTAGAAAGAGTAAGTCTTTGGCTTACAACAGCTTAATCATTGCCACGAGGNTGTTGTGTGTTGTGTATGTGCTTTGTCTTCTCCATGCGTGTGTGCTGTGTGTATGTGTTGCCTTGTGTGATGTGTGCGTGCATAAGATAGAGAGAGGCAAAGAAAGAGATTAAGAGAGGGAATGTGTTGTTATGTGCATGTGTATTGTGTGCATGCGTGAGACAGAGAAAGGGAAAGACGGAGTAAAAGAGAATATTAGTCAGACAATGGTTGGTTGGTTTCATTGTCGATGGTTTTATTGGTGGTGCGTTAGTCATCATCGGTGGTGGGCTTAGGTCGCTCCATCGATTTGGGAAAAAGAGAAGATAAGAATTCCAAAATAACAAGGTATCATTGACGAAAGCTCATTACCAAACAGTGTTCTAGTACAAGAACCAGTACCAACCCAAGCAAGATCATTGACGAAAGCTGAAGGTTGATCATTGGCACTGAAATAACAGGGTATCCAGACAAGAAGAATTCTAAAAGATCTGCAAGCAAGCAAAACATTTAATAAGGTGTACTTAAATGTCAAGAACAAGGACCTAAGTTGAATATAAAACAAGAAGACAAAATGAGGTGGAAGACAACCATTAAACTTTTACCCATGGAATCTTATCTTGAAGTTGAGTGATCAAGTTCTCCATCAGAGAAACTTTTTATCAGAAAACAGGTACAGACAAAGAGGGTAGACTCTCTAATCTCAGCTTCATTTCAGTCTCAGGCATAGATCCTTCTGCACCCATTTCTGATATCAGTAATGCTCACCTAGCAAACCACAAAAAAAAGGAAGAAGAAAAGATTAGCATAAACTAATAGTTGTGCAGGACGATAGAGAAGACTATATCAATAACTTCTATTATCTCATACAAATATGCAAGTGACACAGAATGGTAAACCTTTTGCAGATTCACAGCCTTTCTAAAGAGGATCTGAGAAGCCTCACCCAGTTTTAAGAGAGAATAAGATCAATCTGGAAAATTTGTCATCGTCATCTTCTTCTTATCCAGGGGAGGAAGCAAACGAGTCCCTAGTATCATCAACATGTCACTCGGGACAAAACATGCAATAATGGTCTATAATGCTCAATAATCACCATTATACTGAAAAGAACACACCACTTGTCATTCGACAAATGACAAGTCATTTTGTTTCAAGTAATTTTCTTTTTTTTCTAGGGTATGTGTGCAGGGTTGTGAAGAAGTCATCATTGGATATTTCCATACTTTTATGATCCCATAAAAGTAATGTAAATTTTAATACAATTGCAAGAAAACTTATGAACCTTGTTGAATTGATTTCAGTGACAAGAAATTACCAAGACAAGGACATTACCTCTTAGAAAAAGCCATTGCTTAAGAAGCCTGCTAAGAAACCAGGAATACCTGCCACAACAATGCCGCTCCAAATGCAAGAACAGGAACACAGCCGGCATAAGACTTGGACTGTTCAGGTATTCAAAGACACAACTAAATGCACTTCTGGAAGCAGTTGAAACAGGTCCACAATTGAAGATGCTACCATCGAGCTACCGCAAATAGATAAGTTGCCTCGACAACCGTAGAAGTTAGAGAAGGCTCATTTCAACATCATTTGTATAAGTATAAACTATAACCTCTAATTTGAAGAATGTTGTAAGCAGTGAAGCCAACTAAGCACAGTCCAAAGCCAACTAATTTTCTCAATATTTGTAGTCAACAGTCACCTGTTAGCAAAGCAAACAAGAAACATTGAGAATTCATATCTGTTTCACTAGTAAATAGTAGGCGTTTGCTATACCTGAGTTGTGCTCATTGTGGCAACGTCAAGTTGCCCACCTAAAGGCTAAAGCAGTAGAAAGAGTAAGTCTTTGGCTTACAACAGCTTAATCATTGCCACGCGGCTGCTAGGGTTATCAAGAGCATTAAGTTCCAACTCATCTTCAAGTTTCACAGAACTAAATCAACCTGTAAGAACACAGGTAGTGTCAAAGCTTTATAGATTGACTGTCTCATCTCAAGTCATTCCACCTATAAGAAGCAAGAATAGTATTAGACACAGATGTATTTATGTCAGATGTGATGCACCTCTGCACTCTCAGATATGTGTAAGACATGCCACAAACATGTCCCATTATGAGGTAAAGAAAAGAAAGCAAAGAGATATTATGTGCATTGACAACACACATCATAATACATAACTATACAGAAATAATATCATTTGGATGACCAAAAAAATTCATGATTAATTCAAATGGAAAATAGAATCATGCGAGTTTCTGTTGAAGATCAACTGACGAGCTGTGGCGTCCCTTGAGATATACGTTGAACAGAAGAAAACCACTGAGTATTGCACATACATGGTCCACTTACTGCTTAAAGAGCAACTGCATCCATGCTCCCCACAATCTTCATTGTAGTGGAAATTGACTTTATCTGGGACAAAGTTTCCATATTGGAGGTGCTAACCAAAAGAGAGCAACATAGGACCACAAGTTGCAAAATAACTTCAAAAGTGAAGGTTCAACCTTGACAGTAGGATCAAAATCTGAACATATTTCAGCCTCATTAGGAAGTAGAGGCGAAAGAAAATCCGCTCTCCAAATTTCCAGGTATCTTTTGTGATGAAAGCTCTGTATAATCGAACACTAAAGAAAAAATCCACCAAAAGGGAGCACAATTCATAAGAAAAATCACTTCAAAAGATAGATCAAAATAAATTGAACCATGCCATGACTTCAGGCAATACTAGTGTATCTTACCTTCCACTTCTAGACTCTGCAGCCAACCCTACATCTGAGCACAAAGATAGCATCCAATGAAAATAGTCTGACCTCAATTTAGTTCCATTAAGACTGCTCGCAAACCAGATGAAAACCTGTAGGAAGTGTGTAGAAATCGGATTGAACGAATGAGCAAACAGCTGGTAGATTAAAGCTTGATAATGCCTCATACTATTCACATGTTAAGAGCTACAACATACATACCTTAACGTGGGACAAACATCGGTGTAGTTTCACGGGGTTGCCCTTTTCTTCTTCTTCCTCCTTGGTGCTCTTTCCAAACGCTCCTTTAACAGCTTCGTTCGACTTAGATAGATAGAAAATGGCAGGCGAACTCCGATTTGTTAACAAAAAGCTTTCTCCGACTTCAAAGTTGGATAGAATAAAGATAAGAAGGGAGGATTGAAGTCAGAAAAGGGCTTCGGGAGTGAAAGACAGAAGTTAAAGAGAGTCGAGCAAAAGGGAAACCCTAATCACATGATCTGTCCATGGCTTCTGGTGCCAGGGTTTCACTTTTAGCACATCCAACACTAGAGAGCTTTATCAAGTAACTTCGTGTCATCAGACAACAACTTCATGATCAGATTCAAAATCTAAACTCAATGTGCCGGAAANCTATAACCTCTAATTTGAAGAATGTTGTAAGCAGTGAAACCAACTAAGCACAGTCCAAAGCCAACTAATTTTCTCAATATTTGAAGTCAACAATCACCTGTTAGCAAAGCAAACATGAAACATTGAGAATTCATATCTGTTTCACTAGTAAATAGTAGGCGTTTGCTATACCTNAATCAGATTCAAAATCTAAACTCAATGTGCCGGAAACCACATCAAGAAGAAGCAGCAACTCCACAAAGAAAGATTGGGACACCATGCGACAGATTTAATTTTAGTGTTAGCCATTTGAATGATAAATTCAAGTGAACTTCCAAACCTTAGAAGAAAACCTGTAGATGCATTTAACGCATGCTTGAGAAGGATACGTTCATACATACTTGGAGTCGCAATAAGCCAAGAGTTGTAGTGTCACCCCCCTTCTAGAATTTCTACAATGAGTGGCAATATCATATCCACCACTTCAGGCTTCTGACAAAAACATGCAGATCAGCTAGCAAGTGTATAATATGAAGTTGCTTAATAAGAACTAGCTGCTTTTCTTTTTTTTCTTGTAATTGAAAGGGAATGCAAAATAAATTAAGGTATCTATTATTTATATATCATCTCTGTCTTAAATCTTAATCCAGTCAACCTTATTTCACATGATTTCAATCTCAAACCCAAGTAACCAGGCGACAAACTTTGAACCTATCCACTAAGTAATTCTGAAATCAATTAATCCCACACATCCACTGGAATGAAGTCTTTCCACAGTCTCTCATCAACTAAATTATACTCACTAGACTTTTTAGAAGTTATAACAGATTCATCAAATTGTTGACCTTAACCATCCAAACTATGATTCTCATTTCCTATGGTGATACAAAGTTTCATCCAATTTGCCAATCTTTTGCTCACCCAAACATCCAACAGCATTAGGAGCATTCATAAAATGATCTCCAAGAAACACTGAAAAACAAGAGATGCGAAGTACTAATACCATGTTGATCCTAAAACAAATTGTTTTTAGAGAACAATCAATGAAAAATGAAATCAATGAGATAAAGAATTTTATAGTGTTGACCAGAAAGAAAAATGATAGTATCCTTTACAAACAAAAGACCAAAATGTATAATTAATCCTGTAAAATTGCAGAAACCCCCCCTTGATTCATCGCCCCTAACAATTAATTAAATGAAAAAAAATAAGGTAATAAGAGATCCCTCTACCAANCGGGACAAACATCGGTGTATTTTCACGGGTTGCCCTTTTCTTCTTCTTCCTCCTTGGTGCTCTTTCCAAACGCTCCTTTAACAGCTTCGTTCGACTTAGATAGATAGAAAATGGCAGGCGAACTCCGATTTGTTAACAAAAAGCTTTCTCCGACTTCAAAGTTGGATAGAATAAAGATAAGAAGGGAGGATTGAAGTCAGAAAAGGGCTTCGGGAGTGAAAGACAGAAGTTAAAGAGAGTCGAGCAAAAGGGAAACCCTAATCACATGATCTGTCCATGGCTTCTGGTGCCAGGGTTTCACTTTTAGCACATCCAACACTAGAGAGCTTTATCAAGTAACTTCGTGTCATCAGACAACAACTTCATGATCAGATTCAAAATCTAAACTCAATGTGCTGGAAACCACATCAAGAAGAAGCAGCAACTCCACAAAGAAAGATTGGGACACCATGCGACAGATTTAATTTAAGTGTTAGCCATTTGAATGATAAATTCAATTGAACTTCCAAACCTTAGAAGAAAACCTGTAGATGCATTTAACGCATGCTTGAGAAGNGCTCGCCCGCCAAAAGATATTATCTTTTTGCTGAAAGTTTATTTGGTGTTGTGTTGGTTATGGGTCAAACTAAAAGAATCTGAATTTGGATCGAACTTATTCTTCCAATCGAAATTTAAAATTTAACACTATTTTGCTGTGGATTAGTTCACACTCCCAATGTAACATTTCCTTTCGTTACTGTTCAGATTAACAATGTGTTTTTTCAATCTGAAAGGTATAATGAACAGTGGTGTCTCGTGCTTCTTCAGCCAATCTGAACAGACACAAGAGGGTCTATAAAAGAACTACCTTGAAACCATTTTTATATATAAAAAACATACAAAAAAATTCTGCATACTATTGCATTTCTATTTGATTCAAGTACAAAAAACAAAGTTGTGTTCGTTACAATTTTTAAGATTGAAGTGCTACTTTTTCAAAAATAAAATATATTCTATCTTAAGAGACAGTTGCTTATCAATCTTAAGCACTGAGAGGGAACAAATCTATCTTAAAAAAACTATGATTCACAGGGCTCGGATTATTTTTTAATTCTATTATTTTCTTATTGCTATTCTACAATCAAGTAAGTGCGTCATTTCAGTTTTTTATGATACATTCTATTTTTACATAAATAGTTTGCATATAACAGCATACTTAGTGATTATATATTTAGATTTGTTACAATAATTCTAATTCAATTCTGATTATATGTGGGATAATAATCTTAAGATAGATTTCAACCAAATTTGTTTTCGTTATATAGTTATATTAATTATTGTTCTATCTAAATCAGAATTTTGTATTATGTTATACAATACTTTGTTAAAACCAGAATACTATTTGCTTCAGTTTGTGTAACAGAAATAGCTACAACAAATTTTGTTTCTACTATGTCTCATGGATAAAAGCCCGAAAAATTTAAAGGCTTGAACTTTAAACATTGGCAACAAAAGATGTTTTTCTATCTCACCAACCTGAACCTTGCAAAGTTTCTCAATGAAGAAGTTCCTTTAATTGATGCAAATGAAACTAACAAGGAAAAGGCGGTTGTTGTAGATGCTTAGAAGCATTCAGATTTCTTGTGTAGAAATTACATCTTAAACAGACTAAAAAATGCACTATATAATGTGTACAGTGCTGTCAAATCTGCAAAAGAACTTTGAAAGTCTTTGGACAAGAAATATAAAACCATGGATGCTAGTACAAAAAAATTCATTGTTGACAAATTCTTGAATTATAAAATGGTGGATTCAAAGACCATCATAACTTAAATTCAAGAACTTCAAGTTATCCTTAATGACATCCATGCCGAGGGTATGTCCTCTTATTGACTCATTCCAAGTGATTGTGAATTACAATCATGGAAAAACTACCACCACTTTGGAAGGATTTCAAGTACTATCTCAAGCATAAACACAAGGAGATAAAACTTGAAGAATTGATTGTTTGTTTAAGGATTGAGGAAGATAACCACAAATCTAAGAAGAAAATTGGAGTCTTTAATTCCATGAAATCTAAAGTCAATATTGTGAAAGGTGGAACAACAACAAGAGGAAGCATACCGATGGAGGTCCAATCAAAGATCTAAGAAGTTCAAAGGCAAGTGCTATAATTGTGACAACCCTAGACATCTCTCTAAAAGCTGTCGTAAGCCAAAAAACTTCAAGAAGTCAAATGCTCAAGCAAATGTGACGGAAACGGATAAGCTTTCAATGGAAGTCTCCGACATAAACCTTGGAGTAGTTGTCTCTTAATGTAACTTGGTGGGTAACCCACAAGGAATGGTGGGTTGATACCGACGTTACTCGACGTACTTGTTCAAACAAATAAATGTTCTCTACTTATAAAAAGTTAGAGAATGATGAATAATGAAAAAATTTTCTACCTCCAAGGTTGAAGGATGTGTTAAGGTGAAACTAAAAATGACCTCTGGGAAAGACCTTATCTTAAACGAAGGGCTTTTTGTCTCTAACATTCGCAAGAATTTGGTGTCCGGCTCTCTACTTAGCAAAAATGGCTTTAAGTTAGTTTTTATATTCGATAAATTTGTATTCACCAAGAATTAAATGTTTGTAGGAAAATGATACTTGAGTGACGGGCTTTTTAAACTCAATGTAATAACCGTTGTACCCAAATCTATTAATAATACGAATGAGAATAATTCCTCTTGCTTGAATCTTCAAAAACATGACATGTTAGGCTAAGACATGTTAACTATGATACTACTAGAGGATTAATTAATTTGGAGAAGAACAAGAATGAATCTTGAGAAGAAAAAATAAGGAGAAGAAAAAGAAAAGTACTGAGAAGACGAAGAAAAAGAATGCAAGAAGAAAAATAACATTAATAGTTANCAATGTAACATTTCCTTTCGTTACTGTTCAGATTAACAATGTGTTTTTTCAATCTGAAAGGTATAATGAACAGNATAAGGAGAAGAAAAAGAAAAGTACTGAGAAGACGAAGAAAAAGAATGCAAGAAGAAAAATAACATTAATAGTTAAAATAAGGAGAAAAACAACAATGAAAGGTAAAANGAAAAGTACTGAGAAGACGAAGAAAAATAACATTAATAGTTAAAATAAGGAGAAAAACAACAATGAAAGGTAAAAAAGGAATACGAAGAAGAAAAAGATGCATGCCCGGCTCNAGTGGTGTCTCGTGCTTCTTCAGCCAATCTGAACAGACACAAGAGGGTCTATAAAAGAACTACCTTGAAACCATTTTTATATATAAAAAACATACAAAAAAATTCTGCATACTATTGCATTTCTATTTGATTCAAGTACAAAAAACAAAGTTGTGTTCGTTACAATTTTTAAGATTGAAGTGCTACTTTTTCAAAAATAAAATATATTCTATCTTAAGAGACAGTTGCTTATCAATCTTAAGCACTGAGAGGGAACAAATCTATCTTAAAAAAACTATGATTCACAGGGCTCGGATTATTTTTTAATTCTATTATTTTCTTATTCCTATTCTACAATCAAGTAAGTGCGTCATTTTAGTTTTTTATCATACATTCTATTTTTACATAAATAGTTTGCATATAACAGCATACTTAGTGATTATATATTTAGATTTGTTACAATAATTCTAATTCAATTCTGATTATATGTGGGCTAATAATCTTAAGACAGATTTCAACCAAATTTGTTTTCGTTATATAGTTATATTAATTATTGTTCTATCTAAATCAGAATTTTGTATTATGTTATACAATACTTTGTT